TGAGGAGGACGGATAAAGGGAGGATGCATTCTTCCTCATCCGACGCGCGCGGGCGGCAAGCCGTCCCTCGCGCTTCGGCGTCCTAGTGCTTGGGGCTATGGCTCCTGCTCACAGGCGCCAGTCGCGCCGCGCCGTCTGGGACGTTACCCCTCAGTGTCCTCAGGGCGCGGCGGACTCTTGGTACTCACGCGTCGTCCTCGCCCTGCGCGTCGTCGGCGTACTCCGCAAGGGCCGCCGCGAGGCGCACCTTCAACTCCTTGGCAGTCTTGATCCAGGAGTCGGCATTCTTGAAGACGGAGGCGACGGCGCTCGCAGCCCCCTGGCCCGCCGCCTTCAGCTCGTCCAACCCAGCCTGGACTGCGGCGGCATTCTTCTTGCACTCCTTGGCGTTGTCCATGAGCCTCTTGGGGATGCCGTCCGCGTCGGCACAGGCCTCCACCATGACGGCTTCGAACTGAAACAGCGCTGTGCCGAACTTACCCAGGCCCTTGTCCAAGCGCGCCGTCTGGGCGGCAGTCAGCGGCTTCGGCAAGTCCTTCGGCTGCCCCCCGCCGCGGCCACGGCCGCGGCCGCCGCGGCCGCCGCCGCGGCGCTTGCCTTGGCCATCCCCATCGGCAAGCTGATCCGCAGCGCCCTCTAGTGCAGCCGCACCCTCAGCGTCTGTGCCAGCCTCGGTCGGGGCGGGCGGGTCGTCTCCGTTGGCCACGCGGGACTTCTTGGCGGCCTTGATGTTCTCCTCTAGGTCGCAGACGCGCTTCTGTTGCTCGCGCTGGGTGGTGTTCTTGTTCAGGGAGAGCGTGTACGTCGGGACCCACAGCATCTCGCAGTCGTAGTGGGTCGAGTGGAACGAGTAGGAGTTGAGCTTCAGCATCTCGAGGTCTCGAAGTTTGGACGGGTTCCCAGCGGCGTCGGCCTCCAAGTCCGAGATCTTGTGGAAGTTGCCGTGCGCCGAGAAGCTGCTGGACTGCTCCTTGGCCATCTCCTGCATGACCGTCGTCACGAGGTGGCGCTTGAGCTTGTCGCCTTGCAACGTGTTCGCAACCTGGAAGAACTCGGCGCGGCTGGTCGATGGCATGTCGGTGAGCCCGCAACGGAGGTGATCGCCTGGCTGGGTCAGGCAGTAGATCTTCTGGCGCGTCCCATTGCACTGTGTGCAGCGAAACGTAGCCTTGGCACCCGTGAACACATTCTCCTGCTCGACGGTGGTGCATTGCGTCTTGGGCTTCGTCTGCTGGCAAGTGCAGCACTTGACCATCTCGGGCTCGCAGACGGCCACGATGCCTGCTCCCCCCTGCGGCTCCTCCTGCTTCGGCACTGGCATTACCGACGGGCTCGCCGCGGGCGTCGTCGTCGGCGGGCTCGGGGACACGCCCGCCTCACCGCGCCTCCCGCTGGGCGGGGAAGCGGCGCTGAGTGGAGACCCCTTCGCCCCCAAAGAGCGGCGCAGATTGGGCGAGGGGGTGGCGGCGGCGGCGCGGGGGCTGACCGCGGCCATGCTGTCGACTCGGTTCAGTCGCGGAGGTGGAACCTGCTGAATCGCTCGAGACAGCGAGCGGCGAGCCGACTCGCTGAAATGCCTATGGGCAGGAGGGGGGGTCGCAGAGGTGGGACCTCCTGGATCGCTCGATGCAGCGAGCAGCACCGACTCGCTGAAACCCCTATGGGCAGGAGGGCGAGGAGGGGGGCGAGGAGGACGATGGGGGGAAGATGAGGAAGAGGGGGAGAGGGAGGGGAGGGTGGAGAGCGAGGAGAGGGGGACTGAGAAGGAGCAGCACGGGCAGGATCAGGCGCAGCGGTGGGGATTTGGTGTTTTTTTCTCGCACCGCCTGGCAGCTCCCCAGCGCCAGCCCTTCGCCGCCCCACAGCTCGGGCACGCGCGGCTATGCAACGATCACCCCGGGCAGATCGGGGAATAGCGGGCGCACGCTGCCGTCGCGGCGCTCGATGTACATGAGCGAACTCACGAATGCTTCCACAGCGAAAACCTGCTTGCAACCCGAGCGCCTCCACGCACCATGCCCGTCAGGACGGAGCAGGTCCACCATCAGGAAGTGCCTCTTGCGGAACGACACCTTCAGGACAGCTTCGACGATCGACTCAACGAAGCCGCAGCGGCACGTGGCTGGGTCGCTCGTCCGCAGGAGCACGTGGGCCCCCGAGTGGACAGAGCCGCGCGTGCACATTAGGCCCGAGCTGGTGTACATGTCCTCGCCCGCGTCGGCACATACCAAAGCGACCTGTCGCTTCAGGATGCCTGGGGCCACCTTGGTAGCCCCGCGCACATAGACGGGGACCACGTCATTCTCGCCGTCCTCGTCATCCTTCAAGTACATCAAGACGGCTCTCCGAGCCACGTGCTTCTCCCATCCCTGCCCTGGCGCATGCAGAGCAAGCGCCTTCGCCAGCTTGTGTTTCCGCTCGGGCGCGAAACACGAGAGCAGCACGCCCCACCTCTCCCATGCGTCAGGCACGTGGTGCGTGAGGTGGAGTTTGGGGCGGCACTCGCCCGCGCCATACGCGGCCACGTACGCGTCGTGGTGGGCGTCGACAGTGGCCCGCAAAGCAGCGGGGGTACAGCTCGGATACTCGTGCGTGAGCAGGTCGCACATCTTGGCCAGCTGGAGGATGCTCTTGCGCTGGTCTGGTACACAGGAGTTCTCGCCCAACACGTCGAGTGCGAATTGACGTAGGATACGGACGGCCACGAGCGTCTCGTTGGCGAAAGCTTTGATGGCGGTCGACTTCGTGGTGTCGGTGCGGTCCACAAAGAACGTCTTGTGGATCCTGTGGGACTGTGGAGGCATGCGGATGTGTTTGGCGAACCTGTCGAGTTTGTCCACGTCGATGCCAGCCGCCTGGAGGGAAGACGCCAGCAGATTGATTTCGTGACCAGCAGTGCCTCCAGATGCCACGATGC